GCCGTGATAGACAAGGACAGCGCGTTGCGAGGCGGACGGTACAGACGGGGCTTCCACGATTTCGCCGTGCTGTAGGGTCGATCAGTGCGCCTCGTCGAACGACGCGAGTATGAGCGCGATCGCGGAGTAGAGAACCGCGCGAGAAATAGCCAAGACGCGCGCCTCGATTCGCAGAAAGTACGCCGCTCTCAGGGCCGGAAAATGGAAAGCGAGATCGCTCTGGAAAAGAGGTACGAGCCTATCGTCAAACCTCTGAAACGACTCGCCGATGACGTGGAACGCAGAGGTAAAGGACCGGGCAAAATCGACGACGACGACGGCGCTGGCTTTGCGTTCCCGAAAAAGATGAAAGCGACGAAAAGAGCGAAGAAGGACAGCGAAAACGGCGACGACGACGACGACGCTGGCGCCAACCTGGAGCGCGATTACTGGGAGGACGACGACGTATTCGCGCCAATCGGGACAACCGCGACGGCGGAAAAAGGAGAGTCGCGTCCGACACGGCTGAGTTCGGCTCCCGCGACGACGACGACCGCGATGAGCTCCACGCCGATCCGCGACGATTTGGTCCAGTTGCTACCCAGAGAACGCGAGATCGTATCGGAGACGACGACTCCGCCTCCCACGTTGGAGACGTCCGCCGGGAAATCTTTGAGTACGGCGGAAAGTCGCGACGTTCTGACTAGCAAACTAGGACCGTTGGGGCGGGAATACTTGGGCGCTCTTCTGGGCGGCGACAAAAACAAGGAGCTCGACACCGTTTACGGAGTGCATTTCGGCGAGAAAGGCGCGATGCTGGGAAATAAGCGATTCAAGCTGAAACCGGATGACACCATGGTCATCGATGGTGTACCGTACAAAGGCACGCGCGGTCTGTACGAGTTGATCTTCATGGGAAAACCCGACCCTAAAATCTACACGGAGAAAGACAAATTAACGTACAGGAGCATACTTTTTTCCACCAGCGCTCACAAACGCGGCGGCAAAATCGACAATCCCGTCAAAGGCAACAAGGGATCGAAGTACAAAAATATAATAGCGCCGCTCGTAAACCTATCTCTCAAAGTTGGAACTACGAAGGGTGCCGGGCTACCGTCGGAAATGCGACTGACCGACAACGCTATCGATTACGTTCACTGGGACGATCCCAACGAACTGGTCGATAGACTTCGACTGCTGGACGCCTCTCGTCGGGCCGGCAACGATGCTCACAACAACGAAATCCTGTCGATAATCGAGGAACTTCGCGAGGCCGGCTTCGTCATAATTGATCGGTCGCGTCGGTCGCGACGTCAGTGCGAGTCGCGCGCCCGCCAGCGCGATGTCCGTGAACAAATTCGGCATGTCTCTGACGAATCGGGGCAGCGGCGACGGAGTCGACGGTGCGTCCGCGGTGAGATTGCGCTCTTCGATCGAGTCCCTGCGCAATTACGCGCGCAACAACGCGCTTTTCATGAGCAAGGATTTTTACGACGCGAAGGAGCGCAAGATACAAAGAGTGGCCGTGCCGGAGATCGGCACTGACGCGGCGAACAGGAGCTACGTCGAGGACGCGATTGGGCAGCTGAAAAGCGTTTTAATCGAAGAGATCAAGAATAACAACGCGATCCGAGATTTGGGAAACGGAATCGCGGCGTTGAAAAGCGTCGCGCTCCGTTTGAACGCTCAGGATTCCTACGACGCTTCGGGGCGCAAGATACGACGCGTAGCCGCGCCGGAGGTCGGCGCCGACGCGGCCAACAAGAGGTTCGTCGAGGGAGCAATCGCGGAACTCGGAAAGACTTTGAGCGACGCGATAAAAGAATTTAAAGAGGAGTTCGTTACCGTGAAGAATACCGCGGATAGGCACGAGGTTGAAATCATCGCGATCAAGACCGTTTTAAAGATTATCAAACAAAATGAGCGTGGAAAAACGTAGACTCGTCGAAGAATTGCACGCGCCGGCGCGAAAAAATTTTCCTCGCCGCCGCGTCGTGGTGCGCGGTTACGACGACCTGTGGCAGGCCGACGTGGTCGAGATGCGCCCCTATTCGCGCGCGAACGCGGGCCACAATTACATTCTGACGGTCATCGATGTGCTGAGCAAGTACGCCTGGGCGATCCCGCTCAAGAGCAAGAGCGGAAAGGAGGTCGCGAAAGGAGGAGCTCTCCGAAAGATCTTTCGCGAGGACGCGCGACACCCCAGGAATCTGCAAACGGACAAAGGAAAGGAATTCTACAACGCCGACGTGCGCAAAATCCTCGACGAGCGCGAGGTGAATCACTATTCCACGTATTCGGTGATGAAAGCGTCGGTGGTGGAGAGATTCAATCGTACGCTGAAAAACGACATGTGGAAGCTCTTCACGCTCCAGGGATCGTACAGATGGATAGACTCGCTGCCGCGCCTCTTGTCGAATTACAATCGTCGCAGACACAGAACGATCCGAATGCGTCCGGCGGACGTGACGCCCACCGTCGCCGAAAAACTGCTGCGCACGGTGTACGGTCGCGCGAAGATAGCCGCGCCGGCGAAATTTCGAGTCGGCGATC